AGATTTCATTGATCCATTGTTTCTAATGGGTTTACGATGATCGATGAAGATCATTGTGTGTACGTTAAGCAGTCCAAGGACATTTTTCTGATATTGTCATTATATGTAGATGACATATTATTGGCTGGAAATGACAAGGAGATGATTGTTGCCACTAAAAGGTGGTTATTCTCTACATTTGAGATAAAAGACATGGGTGAAGCGAGCTACGTGCTCAGTGTTAAGATCCTTAGGGATCACTCTAGGAGACTTCTTGGTTTTTCTCAAGAGACTTACATTAAGACTATCCTAGAGCGATTCGAGATACAGAGTTGCAAACCCATTGACACTCCTGTTGCGAAAGGCGAGAGCCTAAGTCTTGATATGGGTCCTAAGACTCCAGAAGAGAATGAAAAGATGGCCCGTTGTAGACACCCCATTTTTGACCGTCCTCAAGACTTGGACGTCACCGTTTGAACACTCGGTGATCATCCATGATTGTGTTCGTTTGGAGTTCCCGGAGGTCTCGGTACGAGGCCCTCCGCGGGCGCGTCTACACCCGTGTTCCCTATGCAAATGCTGTTGGAAGCTTGATGTATGCTATGATGTGTACATGCCCTAACATTTGTTATGCAGTCAAATTGGCGAGTCGTTACCAATCCAACCCAGGACCAACTCATTGGAAAGCAGTTAAGAGGGTATTACGATATCTTAGAGGGACTGCAGATTACACATTTTGCTACCAAAGTTTAGATCTTCATCCAGTTGGCTATTGTGATGCTGACTGGGGAGGAGACTTAGATGAGCGTACGTCTACTTCAAGATATGCTTTCATGCTTAGCGATGGTGCTATTTCTTGGAGCAGTAAGAAGCAATCCTGTATCGTCTTATCGACTATGGAGGCTGAGTTTGTGGCTTGTTCATCTACCGTTCAGGAAGCCGTTTGGTTGAGGAGATTCCTTCAGCATTTGGATATTGTCACACACACTTCTAACCCTGTGACTATCCATTGTGACAGCATGGCTGCACTCGCTTACGCTAAGGATCCTAAATACCACGGGAAAACCAAATACATTGATGTGATGTTTAACTTTATCAGAGACATTGTGGCGTAGAAAGAAGTGATCCTGGAGCACATCCCTACGAGTCGCATGGTTGCGGACCCTTTGACTAAGCTTATTGCTAGAGATGTTTATCTTATTCATGTTAGGGCTTTAGGACTACGTAGGTGGTGATATATATGTGTGTGTATTCAGTTGAACTCATATTTTTTGGGATATTTATGCCATTAGTATTCATATTTGTTTCTATTACATTTATGTTTACTACTTTTTGCAATGGTTTGTGAATTAGCATACACAGAATAAATAAATTAATGTTAGTAGGCAAGATTGGCTCACTCACACAAGCAATCGCCCTTAGCGCTAGGTAGCGAGTAAGGATGAGACTAGTGGCTTATTGTATTTGGAGCAAATAGAGAAGCTAAAATTATCCACTAGCTATGTCGCCTTGGTTGGAGCCAAGATGAGGTCTTGTCAGAGACCGACTATGGGTATGAGAGTACCCACTTTTCCATAATGTGCCTGTTATGGATAGCCAGATGCGAGATCTCATTTGATGCTTGAGAGGCGAGCAAACAGAGAATTCGAGTTAGATGCTAGGAAGCGACTTGTGCACTTAAGAGCGACTAGACTAAGATCTGTATGGTGTGTGAGTTTAACATCACTTTTTGGAAGAGTTACTCCACTACAACATGCGTTCGTACTGCATGCGCTTATCGACTCGTTAGCGAGGTGAAAGAATGGATCCCTGCTTTTTCACTGTGTGAGTCCTAAAAGTCATTTTTCCTTAAATGACTTCACTTTGTGCCTTTTGTGACCTTTGACTATGTCATAAGATGAGGAGTTAATGTTTAGCTACTTTGTTATGTTGCCTGCGGTCATGTATGATTCGGCTTTAAGGGACATTACTAGGAAAACGATCAATTTCAAATCAAATGATATGAGGGTGAAGGGAAGATCATCTAGTTCTACATCTTTGTTCTATATTCACTGTCGACAACTCACATCGCTCTCTATGGGATGCTGATTGGGTGTGAATATAATACGAGACCTAGGAGAGTCAAACATGCTCTTTGAGGGATTAGAGATGTTTTTGGACCAATGTAGCTAGATGGGTCTGGCACATGAGACACTATTTCTGTTCATTTTGGATTGATGTCTCTATGCTGACTCATATTGAGTTTCTAGTATAGAGCTCCCACATGTAGGTGTTCTCAGCGGTCGCACGGTGCATTGGCTAGTATGAGATTGTTCGTTTTTTGGGGAGATTAAGATAGAGATGTGGCAGTGTCATGCCAACTCATGTGCGAGTGGAAAAATGTTAGAAATTAAGCGCCCATGTGTCATGACCCATGACCCTTTTGAACCTTATCCATGTAAGTTTGAATTTGAATTTAAAACTTATTTGGATAACCCACTCATGATATCTATATCTATCATATCAACTGATATGGATAGATGATATACTTAGACTATATATCTGATACGATATATGAGATATGGAAAAAAAATAAAACAACGTATATTTTTTTCCATACTGACTCTCTCCCATTAAAACAACGATCAGGCTTTTTACACTGTGACTTGTGTGGGTGATACTCATATTGTGGTATCAATTGAAGTTAGGAAATTGAAGTCCAAGAAGAGAGCCGGATGCTGTTGATATCACGGGACTGTTTTTTTTGTGTTGGGAGCTGTTTTGAGTGTTTTTGATTGATGATCACTGCTATGCTCTGTTTTCCTTAGTTGGGGCACCTTGCTAATTAACTAAGCTATGTAGTGGTTTTTTTTTTTTTGGGGCTGCACGTGATTGGATTGTGCCAACTTCGTTGGGATATTCTTGTTTAATTCTACTTCTTAATTTATTTATTTTTTGCTTTATACACAAGAGATTAAATCTCATGTACATTTATTAAGGTGAAGCCTATTATCTTGTGTCGTATAATGAAATAAACGAGATAAGAAATGAGACTAAGTAAAATATGACTCCGATAAAAATTATCACTACATCTGTATCAATTCACTGCTAGGTGTTTGTTGTTTGCATTTTTGAAGCACGTGATTTACCTACAAGATTTTTCGCTTCAAGTTATCTGAAATTATTATCCGTTGCGTTATACTTGATTTACAAAAGAGTTAAATAGGAAGGATTGTTTGCATCTATTTGATAGAAATTATGGCTATCTAGAAATGATGTAGTATTCAATCATCGAAAAGTGTTTTGGCTACCGCTGGTTGACGAAATTAAGGTTTTAATTGCTCATTGGTGTTTGGTGAACTCAAATTTTGTTGGGTTCTCTATTGACGACTTTCTGTTTTATATAGAGGAAGTTAGGAAATTGAAGTCCAAGAAGAGAGCCGGATGCTGTTGATATCACGGGACTGGTTTTTTTTTGTGTTGGGAGCTGTTTTGAGTGTTTTTGATTGATGATCACTGTTATGCTCTGTTTTCCTTAGTTGGGGCACCTTGCTAACTAACTAAGCTATGTAGTGGTTTTTTTTTTTTGGGGCTGCACGTGATTGGATTGTGCCAACTTCGTTGGGATATTCTTGTTTAATTCTACTTCTTAATTTATTTATTTTTTGCTTTATACACAAGAGATTAAATCTCATGTACATTTATTAAGGTGAAGCCTATTATCTTGTGTCGTATAATGAAATAAACGAGATAAGAAATGAGACTAAGTAAAATATGACTCCGATAAAAATTATCACTACATCTTCGAGATAGTAAATGTTTGTTGCCAGCTTGCATCAAAACAATTTCTAGATCTTAGATTCTACAAAAACTATATATAGTCATCAAAATCAAAATTTCCGTAATTTAATGCTACATAGACTATTTATAGTGATCAAAATCTTAGCTATATTTTATTCTGTTATATATAGTCTACGTTACTATATATAACCCATCCCCATGCAGCAGTTGGTTATATATAGTGATGTAGACTTAAGGCGAAATCCTTATTTAACTTGATCATGCAAGTTGTTTGTTTTAGACTTTGAATTTTTAAAAAAACTTTGATGAAATGATTTGAAAAGTTCATATAAAATCAAAATTTTAAATTCAAATTTAGAATTAAATTAGATGAAAGTAATGAAGAGTTAGAAATGTTTTAAAAATCTTTAATTTTGATTGTGAAGTTAAATGAGTTAATTTAAACATTTATTTTTGACTTGTAAACGTCATGAGAGCTAAAACTATCTAAAGACTCTTAAAATTTGATGAAATTTAGGAGCCGAAGACGACGGCCTTACTTGCCTTGGACCAGGCCGGCCCAGTTTAGACTTGTGTAAAAAAGTGGGCTATTTGTTGAGCGCAAGTAATTTTCTCAGTTGCGTTAACATTTCAACAATAAAGGTTAGTGAAAGTAATATTTTTTTAATTTTTACAATAAAATTTTACTGTGCATACCTTTTTTTTTTCGTCTCACAATTGAATTAAAATTTTGAAAACTACCTCATATTTATATTACAAATAAATTTAAGAGCATCCGTAATAACTTCATGATTTTTTAAGCAAGTCTATTTATTTATTGTGTCTTAAATTTGAAAAATTATTCAATATTTTTGGAAGAGAAAAGTTAGGGATCATGATAATTTTTTCATGAAAATATTATGAAAGATTTATGATTCTTGGATTAGTGTGTGATACTTTATTCTAAGTGTAATCCAATGGTACTTTATTCTGTAATTCAATGGTCACAAAACTTTTATGATTATTTTCATGAAAGATTTTTCATGATACCTAACATTGCTGCTTTTGGAATATCACGTGCCTGTATTTCTTAATCAATTATCATTTAATACGTTTCCTCTCCAATCATCCAACACAGTACCTCGCATACCTATTTTTTTTATCAATTATAATATTATAAAATATGATGCGTGCATACTTCAGAATTATGAATAATTACCCGGTAAATTTAGGTTCTCTCTCTTCTGCGCTCACGACTCCGGAACAACAGCATCTTCTCTTTCTCTCACTTTTCTTTTTCTATTTTTCTTCTCTAGGGTTCCACCGATGATCATCTGACATTATTATTCTGTATCATCATCATCATCAGTCATGGAAGATTCACCAACAACAAAGCCAACTCCAACGAACGTTTCAAGAACAGCAGACCTAATGAAGAAGGGCTTGTTCTTCTATCCACATTTTTGTCCTTTCGGAACAAGGAGGTCCATGGCATTGGTCTACTGCTTCTTCACCTTTGCCTTCGTCACCTGCACCACCATTCTCTTCTTCAATAACCCTTCCAATACTCACTCTTCCCTTTGGTTTTCAAACATCCTCAATACCAGATCTCACTTCTCCTCCATTTTCTCCCACTTTTTCCCAAACCCCAACACCAGCACCACCACCTCTCATTCATCTCCCTCTCCCTCACCCTCTTCATATCCTCCTCACGATGTTTTTATCCACAAATCCCCTTTTTTTCCAGAAACAAATGCTTCATTCAATGGAACTAATCAACTTTTGCCTTCTCCTGCTTATAAAACCAATAATACTTCTCAACATCATCATGTAATGGGTTTGAACGGTACGACAAAAGGTATTTCAGAGATGTCTAATGTCACATTTTCCCATAAAAAAAATGATGGGAAAATAAATAATTTATCTAATGGTACCAATGAATCTTTATCTTTTGGTCATCATGCGAGTCAAACGTCATCATCATCGCATGAGTTTGTAAAAAATGCTACTACTACAATGGTGAATTCTTCATCAGAATCTGTAAAAAATATACCCGTGGATTCTTCAAAGAATGCTACTGGAGAAAAAGAAATGAATATGATGCCCAACCGTACTGACTTGTTCAAGAAACATAGTGATGGAGGAGCTAAGGGTGTGTCCATGCCTGAGCAAAGAAAAGAGAATTGGCTTGATGAGTTAATTCATTGTGATATTTTTGATGGGACATGGGTAAAGGATGATTCATACCCATTATATTCGGCCGGGACGTGTCCGCATATCGATGAGCCATTTGATTGTTTTCACAATGGGAGGCCCGATAATGGGTATGAGAATTATAGGTGGCAACCTAAGGGCTGCAATATCCCGAGGTAAGTCACAAGAATGATGTGTTACATTATTTATTTATTTTATGCTTTTTGTATTATTGTGTAATGGTTTCTGAGTATCAATCAGTTTGTAGATTGGATTGGACTCTAGTGAGATTGGTTTAGTTCAACTTGTTTTGCAGGTTGGTTGGTGGAGATTTATTGGAATTATTGAGAGGAAAGCGGTTAGTGTATGTAGGTGATTCTCTGAATAGAAATATGTGGGAGTCAATGCTTTGTACTCTGAGAAATTCGGTTAAAGATAAGAGCAAAGTCTTTGAAGCCTCTGGTAGAGAACAATTCCGAACAGAGGGTTCATACTCATTTCTATTCACAGTAAATTCTTGCTTTTCGATCATTCTCCATTTTTGTACTTGATTTGGGTATTCTATGTTTGCATTCTTGGGAGTACATGTTTTTTGTATGTGAAAATCAACATTGATGTTAGCTTTCAAAAGCTAGAGAAGTAGTTACAAGAGCTAACTAAGCAGTATTGGTCCTTTTATCAAGTTAATATTTCTTGCCAAATGAATTTTCTCTACTGATTTTGGATCTGATGTATGAACAGGACTATAATTTTTCAGTGGAATTCTTTCGATCTACCTTTTTGGTTCAAGAATGGGAAATGCCAGACACAAATGGATCGACGAAAGAAACGCTTCGGCTTGATCTCATTGAGAGGTCATCTGATAGATATAAAAATGCAGACATCCTTGTCTTCAACACAGGACACTGGTGGACTCATGAGAAAACATCCCAAGGGTCTCTCTCTCTCTCTCTCTATCTATCTACATATATATACCTATCTCTCACAGTTAATGAATAGACATGAAGGATAGTTAATTTTAGTTCTGCATTCCAAGAAACTAAACTAGGAATATGAAACTTGCCAAAAAATTGTAGGAAGGGTTATTATCAAGAAGGTAGTCATGTTTATGGCTTATTGGATGTTGTTGAGGCATTTCGGAAAGCTATGACTACATGGGCAAGATGGATTGATGCCAATGTAAATCCTACAAAGACCCTTGTTTCCTTCAGAGGCTATTCGGCTTCCCATTTCAGGTAAATTGGATGCATCTAGTCTTTGTTAATGTAGAGTGTCATGTCACCACCAATTTCTTTGAGTGAAGTACTAAATTCTTTTTTGCTGTTACTGGTCTATTTGCAGTGGTGGACAGTGGAATTCTGGTGGTCAATGTGACAATGAGACTGAGCCTATAAAGAATGAGGCATATTTATCAGAGAATCTTCAAATAATGAGCATGTTGGAGCAGGTGATAAAGGGGATGAAGACTTCTGTCTTCTATTTGAATGTTACAAAAATGACTGATTTTCGCAAGGATGCACACCCTTCAATTTACAGAAAGCAAAATTTAACGAAGGAGGAAAGACGATCGCCATTGAGATTCCAAGACTGCAGCCATTGGTGCCTTCCTGGTGTCCCTGATACATGGAATGAGCTTCTCTATTCTCAAATTTTCATAAAATATAATCAAAAGGAACAACAACAACAACAAAAGTAACAACAATAGAAAAGATCATAGGTAAACTAACAGCACAACACTGTAAAACATGTTCATTAATTACTAATTAATTTTAAGACGGGTGGCTGTGCAATATTAGTTTTCTTAATGAAAAGTTCAAACAACCTGGAGAATTTAAGAGAGTGTAAGAGAAAGTGTAGGAGAAAAGGGAGTTGGGGCCGTGTACTAGATTTTCCAAATGACATAATCCCCTGTGCATTGTTGATTGATCAGTCTCTTGAGAGCGCCTTTTTTTTTTTTTTTTTTTGGGTATGTAAATGTAATTGATTTGAAGAGATACATAATTGAATTTCTTTCATGCCTAAATATGCTTTAGCCCTTGTTGCCAACTGCTGGCTAAAAAACATTTTTTTTTGAGATTTTCTTTTGTATATTCTATAGAGTGTCATAACCTAGATTCCCTTCTGAGTATTATGTGGTGTAGGTTTTAATTTTTTATTTTCGTTTTTGTTTTTCCCCATATGATTTCCATAGAATACTATTGTATCTTAATGCCTTCATAATCTACACTCTTGAAATTTCCTTTTGAGTTTATGGTCAAGTTTTCACTTTTCAAAGAATACTATATTAAAGTTGGTGATTTATACAAACATGAAATGCTTGGCCTAAACACGTGGAGATGTGAAGGATTAAATTATTTTAACCAAACATACTTTTTCATGCCAATCTATGCACCCTTGTTCAAGATCTAAAGGGCACACTAGCTAAAAACAAGGTAAATAAAGTTGACATGTACCCTACTTTTTGGCTTGAGTGTATGGAGGCCCAAGCTTTCCAAATGATTGCCAATTTTAAAATTATGGTCATGTATGATAATTTCAGGCCTATGCTACACTAAATTGAAAAGATCAAGGGCCATTTGAGATTTTGATATATGTTTATTGTTTATGGTAGAGATCTATTTTGGGTTAATTGTGCGGAAATCCACTCAATTATTATTGAATATGTATGATAATAGTTGTAAACTTTCCATTATGATGATTCTGGATCATCTGCTATGGCTCTCTGCAGTGGTTCCTGCCATGCTCCAAAACGATATCGTTTTGGTACCTTTTTTTTTTTTTTTGATCCTTTTTTTTTTTTTTTTTTTTTTAAATTGTAGGCTTCTTATAAATGATAATACCACATTTAATTATGTGGTCCCATTGAGACATTATCTAACAACCTGAACCAATAATGAAACCCAAATTCGAAACAAATGAAGAAGAAGAAGAAAGAAGTAGTGCATTCCACTTGAAACTCACATTCTTCATCGACAAAGCCTTAGCTCTTGATTCACCGATCCAACTCTCTTCGATTCATTTTTCCTTATACGAAAAATTAATATAGGTGTCGCATAACTCGAAGGGGCCGAGATTTAGGTTCTTCATGGTGTACATGGCAGCAAATCAGATATTGAATGAGACTGAAGTGGTGAGGTTGTCAATTGTGGAGAGGTTGTCAATTGTGGAGGTGTTCAGCCGAAATTTTGGGGTTTTGGGGCGTAAGATTGTGAGATCAATGGCGACAAATATGGTGGTTTGGAGGACGACGCGGAGAGCGATGATGATTATGCATTTTGTGGTGTTTTTTGGGATTTTTTTTTACCTTGATTTTGGTAACAAATAAGTATTTGTTTTGAAATTTGAGTTGTAAGATGTGTTGTAGGTGCTTATAAAAATGCCTGATTGAATATAGTTAGTGTGAAATCTGGGTTGTATGATGTATGTAGTAGATGGTTTGAAATCTGGGTTTATAAGATGCACTGCAAGTGCTTATAAAAATGTTTGATTGAATATAGTTGTTTCACTTTGGTTAACAAGTTCTTCACCCTCTCTTGTTTATTTTCTTCATATACAAGTGGTGATTGATCTGATCATTTTGTTCTCAGCTGGGGTTTGGCTATTCAATTTTTATGGCTTGAATGGTTTCGTTTGATACAAATTCCAATTGACTTCTTTAACTTCTTATGTGCTTGCAATTGGGTTGATGTAACAATGATATGGGTGGATAATGGTGATGATGTGAGCTTTAGAGATTGGAGCTAATGAATGGTAGTGCTTCATTGATGCACCACCGAGAATGTTTGGCAAGTCTAACAATTTTTCTTAGTAATTCCTTCTAGGATATTGTCCTCAATATAAAGAAAAAGTGAGATAATGTATATCTTTTAATGGTTTTCCAAATTGATTGTAGTTTCATCCATCGATTATAACATTTCTTTGTCCTGACCAAAGATCAATGGAGACAATTTGAGCATTTTATTATTTGTCAAATTTTAGCACTCCCTTCTCTTACAATCAAAACTTTATATATTTTTGTAGGTTGCTTTCTCTTCTTAACTTCCCTTTTTCATGCTTCACTTGCCTACATCTCCCAGGACCCAAAAGAAACAAAAGAGCACCAATTTTTCCCACTATTAGAGTTAATTACATCTCCATTGCTAGCACCATCATCATTAGCACTAGCACTAAAAAGTCAATACTACATTAAAAAAAAAAAAAACTTTTATATAATGAAAACAAACACCAGAAGGTAAGGAACTTCTTAACCAAACTGAAATAATCATATTCAATCAAACATTTTTACAAGCACTTATAATGCATCTTACAAACCCAGATTTCAAACCAACTACTAAGTGCCTTATACAACTCAGATTTTACACCAACTATATTCAATCAGATATTTTTACAAGCACTTACAATACATCTATAACCTAGATTTAAAAAAAAAAGAAAAGAGTACTTACTTGTTACCAAAATCAAGGTTAAAAAAATCCCAAAAAACCCCACAAAATGCATAATCGTCATCGCCCTCCGCTTTGTCCTCCAAACGGCCATCTTCGCCGTCATCGATCTCACAATCTTATATCCAAAAACCCTCAAATTCTGGCTGAGCTCTACCGCGATCGACAATCTCATTACTTCAACCTCATTCAGTATCCGATTCTGTAACGCCCTCAAAATAAACCCATCAATCATATATTCTTAACATAAGAGAATAAAGCATAATTACATTTCATCAAAGTATTCATTACAAAATGTATTACATGTTGACAACAAAAGTAAATGTCCTACAGGCTTACAACTTTTCAAGCCAACACTTGGTTACAAAAAGAGTGAGTACTAACTCAAAACAGATGATAAGCCCTTGGCTTGATACACATGTAATACAAAAATGTAATCACAAAAGATGTCCCAGCCACTAAGCCTCTCAAGCTACGTCCTTGGAGGTGGCATGCTACCTGTACCTAAAAATGATGTCCTATATAGGGTGAGCCAACGCCCAGTATAGATATGCTAAACATAATATGAGCAATAACTAAAACATTAGCATTTGATAAATATTTAACTCATATAAATCAGTTCATAACCCATTTCAATTACATGACAAATGTGTCCATGTTTTATTCCACTTTTCATTTCTTATCCAATTCCTCAATTCATAATTATGGCTCAGAACCTGACCAAACAATTTAAATGAGATTACATCTCATATCAACAGTACTTCCATTTCAATTGAGATAACAACTCAAATTAAACACTTCCTACTTCACAATAGATACACATAATTGCTGTATTGATGGAGTCCATCCCCTATCTCTTTCTAAACAATATCTGGTTTAGGAGTCCATTCCCTATCTCCTCCTAAACCGTGGAGTACATCCTCTGTCTCCTCCCACACCAAACAATGTATATAAACAATTATCATATACACGATCAATCAATACACAAATTCGATGTATCTCCTCCCACACAATACAATGTATATAAACACATATCATATACATAATCAATCAATACATAACTATGATGTATTATTTCAACCGTCATATAAAATGACATAATCAATTGATTAGTTTTAGGTCGCCTAATCATCATGTATTGTCTACAACAATCAAGACTATTCTCCACCGATAGCCCAAAACAATTATTTCTAAACAAAAAATAATTATATCAACAGATAATTTATCAACAATTTTCAAAGGTGAGTGATTAATAAATCCAACTCCACTATTCCATCACATATTATACCAATTTCATTATTTCCAATTCAATTTCATGATTCCATGATAAATGTCATTAATTACACTAATGATCCAAATATGCCTAAACATGGCATTTTCTCAATTTTTTCAAATATTGACCCAAAGGCTCAAATATTATCAACAACATCAATAATCTCCTTTTAAGACCCAAAATATACATATATGAGTCAAAAAGATAAAATCTCTCTTTTCAATATAACACATCTCAAACCCTAACTTCCAAAATCAAACCATCTATACAAATACCTCAACATCTATGTTAAAGCACATAAGAATGAGTAGTTATCCCTACCTCAAGAGATGAAACCCAAATGAGATGATGAAGAAATCTCGAAGTGCTCCAAATCAAGAAATTTTCGGATTGATAGGAAGCCCACACCAAGCTCTACACTTTTTGCAAAGGCTCAAGGGTAGGAGATCACTCTAACTAGATCAAATCCTAGAGAGAAGTTAAGGTTTTAGAGTGAGGTGCTCTCAAATGGTGGTTTTCAAAAAGTAAGAGAGAGAAAGGATGTTGAAAAGTGATCCAAAAAGTGAAATCCCGAAGGAAAACGAAGATGCTCCAAATCCCAAAATTCTCAGACCAATATATAGCCCTCGACGATCAACACACTTTTTGTAAAGGCCAAAGGGTGAGATATTACTCTAACTAGATCAATGCCTAGAGAAAAATTGAGGTTCTAGTGAGAGAAGCTCTCCAATGGGTGCTTTGAAAAGTAAGAGAGAGAAATGGAGTTGAAAAAGTGATCCAAAAAGCTAAATCTCGGAGTGATATACACGTCGCCCCGCTCGAGCGTGGAACTCCCCACTTGAGCGTCAGACATAGACTCACGCTCGAGCGTCCAAACCTCCGCTCGAGCACTGGATACACGCTTCCAGAACTTTTGCAGAACCAGGTCCCCACTCGAGCGTCACACACAAACTCACGCTCGAGCGTCATCCTAGAGAGAAGTTAAGGTTTTAGAGTGAGGTGCTCTCAAATGGTGGTTTTCAAAAAGTAAGAGAGAGAAAGGATGTTGAAAAGTGATCCAAAAAGTGAAATCCCGAAGTGATATAAAAGTCGCCCCGCTCGAGCGTAGAAACCCCCGCTCGAGCGTCAGACACAGACTTACGCTCGAGCGTCAAAATGGCCGCTCGAGCGTCAGATGCACACTCATAGAAGTTTTGTAGACGATGGTCCCCGCTCGAGCGTCGAACTCCTCGCTCGAGCGAAGGAACAAAATCAAAGGTTCACGCTCGAGCGTCAAACTCCCGCTCGAGCGTACAAAGACCTGCAGAGAAA